TGGCTAATTGTTTTATTTTGCGACGGGATACTCCCTATTTCTTTAAAGATTACTTATTTCTCTCATTAGAATAAACTATCTTATCCAATTTGCTGATTGGGTAACTTGTTTCAGTTATGGGGTGGTTCTTCTGCCTCTAATACATAACTCGTAGAATAATGAAATGTTCTATTCCGCTTGCTTCTTGAATGACTTATTATGGTAATCGAGTGGTTTTTCCTCCTTTGAAGGCGGTTTCTAACTCCTAGGAGAATGAAAGTACTTGCTTTCTGCAGCTCACTGGTGATTAGGTGATTTATTCCGTTTATTCCGTCCTTGAAGATGATTTCTTACGCTACAAAAAATGAAGTACAGAATCAAAATTGCTAGTTGGATGATTTATTTTTGCGACAAGTCAAACCTTTTTGATCTTAACCACTCTTTAACGCGTAGCGTGGCTTTCGATTTTATTTTTACTGTGTTAATGATCCAGAAGATTCATCCAAAGATAAATTTATTTATTTTAGTTAAGTATAAATCAAATCATATGATACGAGTAGTAAATGTTATTTTCTTTAAGGGTCATGTTATGCAGTTAGTCATATGATGAACTGTCGCAATGGTCGCGACGCGTATATTAAGTATAGTATATTGTTTTATATTAAGGCGTGGCAAGTGCCTTGATTAGTCTCACTTACAAATTAAGTGAAAAAAAACTTAGAACTTGGGTATTTAAAGTCTGTGCAGTTTTAGTTATTTATGAAAAAACACGATTAGTCATCGTTTCTTATTTGACTGGCACGAGCTCTAAGTCCGGCACTTGCTCACCAACATATTATGTATGAAGTACCTATATACTTATTATATAAAAATTTAACTATTTTCTAAGATCACTAATGATGAGTTCTTGACAATACTCGAAACCGCGTTGTGTGGTCAGCTAAACTTCAATAAATTAATCAAATTTTTGTTGTTGTTTCTTCATTACTATTCGAACTCTTCTAGTTACGTTTTGCCATAAGATGCATCACATTGGAAAAAAAAATCAACGTTAAATATATTACTTCTATTCATTAGCCCAACTACTTTTAATATCTTAGATAATGACAATTTTCTATTTCTTTTAATATCATATTCTACATAAGAGATACATTCCTACATCTATCTTATTGTTAGTTACAGCATTTTTATTAAGAAATAAAATTTATATAAAGATTTTTCTTCTGAATCTATGATCTAAGTCCTAACTTGAATGTTGTGGAATATTTTTATATTTCTTATATTTATATATTTCACTTAGTACTTATATAGTATATTTTGTAGATCTTACGATTTTCGAGATATAATTTTTTATTTACAACTTAGACATAAACTATTAAGGGTTAAATAAAAATAAGTTATAAAATACATAAATGAATATATTTTACACATTTTAACATCCCAGAAGCGATATATACCTATATCTGGTGTATATTGTATCGATATCCCTCGATGTATATATACAACTGTGACATAAACTATTAAAGTATAAGTAAAAATAAATTATAAGCTACTCAGTTACTTATATTTCATACATTTCCACATCCCAGAATCGATATATATATATTGATATACATCCCTCAAGATATATAAATATGTTGAAGCTATTTGAGCCAGTGCACTTGTGCACTTTTACTCTCTATTAACTGCGAGGTATCTTCAAAACTCCTCCTTACGCCTTGACTGTATTATATATTTATGCTTATATTTTATATATAACTGTGAGGTAAATGATTATATTATAAATTCAAATAACTGATAAATCATTCAGATATGAAAAAATAAAAACTGTCCCTAATGAAATATGAATTTGTTTCCTCAAGAAAATGTTTTCGGATCCATGATCTTCCCTTCTCTAATATACAAATGACTAGTAAACACAAAATTCTTTAGAACTTTTATAAGAATCTGGAAATGAGTTTAGGGTGATTGGAACTGAATGGGAATTACCGTTATTTTGTCACAGATAGTGTCGTGCCCGCAACAGTGCAATAGAAATTTTAAAAAGCATGGCGTCTACACAATATGTCGTATGTCGCCATCATTGTGTTATCAGCAAAAACTTAGGAAGGAAGGCAAAAAGTGTAGTTTCCTTGGCTGCTGCAACTGCTGCCGAAATTGCATATTTTGTGAATATTTTTGTAAATGGAATGGTTTTTTTCTATCTTTTGTTTTTTTTTGTTGTTTAATATTTGCAGATTTTTTTATGTTTTTCCTTCAATAGACGAAGTGGTTTGTTGTTTCATTTCTGGTGTACTTTTCGCCATTCGACGGTACACATGTATCGCGAATTCATTTTGTTTGACATTTGATATGTCGCTCGATTGCTCTGCGTTGTTGCGTTGTTGCGTTGTTGCATCCAAGTTTGTTTTTGTGAAAAATGATGCCTGCCGATGCTCCTGCCAATGTTGCTGTAATAAACTCGACGCACAAAAAAACGCAGAAGCGCAAAAGCGCAAACACTGCGCTTAATATTGCCAAATGGAAAATAAATTGCAAACTTTAAATTGAGTTAAGCTGCTTTGCGATATTGTTGCCAAAAAATAAAAATTCCTCAACATAATAACAACAAATTAAAATAAAAATAAAACCAATAAAGAGAAAAAGAAAATCGGAAAAATCATTTGTATCTCTTTTGACACGTGAAATTAATTTAATAAAAAAGCAAAAGCGAAATTAAAATGAAACGGAAATTTGAATCAAAATTGGCTTTTGTGCATAAAATATTATTCTGCAAATATTTTGTTATTGGCAATGGCAGCAGCAACAATTGCTCCCAATAAAAATATTGCAACAAATAGCAGCAATTGGCATTTTCGTGCCACAATGTCGCATTACACGCAATAGTGCAATAACGCAACGACGCAAAGACGCAGAGACATGCACATCCTTACGCTGACATGCAAAATTGATGCGATTTGTCACGCTTAAATGGGAAGCGTGGCGTTTTACATTTCGCTGCGGTTAGACTGCCAAAATTATTGTCAAAATTTATTGTCAAATGTCTGCGAATGCTTTTGATTTTTCTCCTTGAACATAACAAAAGCCAATCAGAATTGTCAACTCGGCTGCTATTCTACGCCACCGAGTTTCCTGCATTGACTTTTATTATTTCGTTTTGCAGCCTGGCAGCCTGGCACATGAAGTCGTGCGCTTTTAATATTTAAGACTCGGTTCCTTTCCTACTACAGCTGTCATTTTCCATTTGATTTTTACTTTCCAACTTTTATGGAAAACTTAAGAAATTCTTAAATTCGTTTCGCATTTCATTTCGTTGGCGAAATGCGCAACAAAGTCGTTAAGTTACTTCAAAGCCACACAAACACATGTAGAGGAAAGCCAGTGCCTAAGCGTATCCTGTGACATCCCTGCTTGCGAGTTTGTGTGAAGTACGAGTATGTGTCATAAATTTTATAAGGATTTCATTTTGGTGACATTTTCAAAGCTAAGTGTAACGTAGCTGCTCTGTGTGGGGGTCCCCTACTTTTAACTGTCAGCACCGCTGCAAATAGTTGTGATTTTTCTCTGCTACTTATTGGATCTAATAAAAGTTTTTAGCTATTTTGGCATCGCGAGCACGAACGCATTTAAGTCAATGAAAAATGTCTCTTACTACACCCACCCCCTACCCTCCTTTCTGTTTTCCTTTTTTTCGTTTGTGTGTTATTGGATTAAAGTGGAAAATATAACAAAGGAACTATCAACATGCCACTTTACTCATAATTGGACATGTGTACTCATGCTAAATGCTTTCATAAGGATTTCGTTCATTTATAATACGATGTTCTGGATTTATTTGGATAAATTATAAAAAGAAAAGCTAATCATTGACAAGTTTTTATTAATAATAGATTATTAATATTTATTTTATATAGGATGAAATTGTTTATAGACAGGCTGATTTCTTCTGTTTAGTTGGGTAGTAGGTAGGTAGATAGGTTGAAGGCCTTTTTTCCAAATAGCCCAGTTGAGCTCAAATGATGGCCCATTGTGGTGGAATAGCATTGGTACGTACACATATTTAAATCAGTATACAGTCAACGTCGAAAATGTTAACGACTCCCACATTACGTAAAGGAAAACCAACCTGACAGTTCTATGAACTTGGCCAGGTCCCTAACATTACAGGATAAAAGCTCAGTCAGATAGTTGGATAATGTTAACTTGCAAATATTATGAAAGATATTTGTATTGTGCTGTCTGCGTGAGATATATAAGGTTCTGCAACCAAGATATAACATATCGGTTGATAGGTCCATAGGATAAACAATAAAAATAATAACCTTTTGTTAAATTTTCGACTTTATTCATCAACAAAGTCTCTTTCAAAAGTAATACAATCATTCATTTCAATACTGTAGTAAACGGACGTAGTACAACACTGGTAGTAAACGTACGTTGTACAACACGGAACACGAGAAGAGCAGCTGGCAGAAAAAGGGTGGCAAGATAAGCGTTTGGTGTAAGATTAACAATTAGTGTATTTATGTCTAACTAGCGAAGTTACTACAAATACCTCTCAGTTTCTTCTATGACTTTTTCATTAGAGCCAAATCTCTTTCCATCTAGCACTTTTTTCTGATCTGCGAATAGGTAGTAATCGCTCGGGACTAAATCCGGTTAATACAGTGAGTCCCGCACTCACAATTCAAAATGTAATTCGTCTATTTTGGCCATTGATATGTGTGACGACAAATTGTCTTCCTAAAAGAGAACTTTTCTCTTTTATTGTCTTTGATTCATTTTGTGGTGATTGATTTCAAATGGCAAATGTAAAAAATATGACACTATCTTATTGAATAAATTTCTTATTGAATAAATTTATTGAAGTTTAGCTGACTTTGATAATGAATAACACTTTTTAATACAAATTTCACCTTCAAATTGTAATTCTACTCTAAAAACACGAATCATTTATAAATAAAATTAATTTATGGAGCAAATAATAATTTTATTTAATTCTTTATTTTATTGCATTGCAGGCCGTTATAAAGAAAACTCGTATAACTTGCAAATGCCATGGTGTCTCCGGATCATGCAGTTTAATTACGTGCTGGCAACAGTTGTCATCGATAAGAGAAATTGGTAAGTTATTTCGATTTTAATTAAAGTCTCCCTCACCTACGAGGTGTGGTTACTGTATTTGCTAATTTCATTAAGCGAGACTTATTCACCACAAATTTTGGTATAAAATTAAAATTTTCATTATAGGTGACTATTTACGTGAAAAGTATGAAGAATCTACGGAGGTGAAATTAAACAAACGAGGGCGGTTGCAAGTCAAAGATGCACAGTTCAAGGTGCCAACAGCGCACGATTTGGTTTATTTGGACGAAAGTCCTGATTGGTGTCGAAATAATAAACAGCTACAGTGGCCGGGTAAGTCTAAATAATTTAACAGATTTATAAATATTCATTTGCTTATTTTATTGTTCTATAATTTTTATTTTATAAAACGTGCTAATTGGTCAAATACTAAAAAATTATAATATAAAATATAAAATGACTTGCTTATTAACAATATAAAAAATTTATGCAATAAATCTTATTGATAAAATTTTCGTGTAAATTTAACACGTTTTTGTTAAATTTATTTATCACCTAATTTACAAAGTAGATAAATTTATACGTTTGTTAGGTTTTAAATGCATTTATCAGTTTAGCTGAGTACTCTTAATGTCAAAAAAATTAATTTATTATTTATATTTACTCATATGATATTAAATTAAAATAGTAAAATATAAATTAAGCTTAATATCGTATTGTTACGATATCTAATGCTTGCCTAATTTTAGTTTTACGATCTTTTTACATAGCATGTACAAGCACCTGTCATATTAGTGGTGATTTCAACAAAACTCACCATACTTTCAACTAAAGCTACTCAACAATTCCTTTAAATAATAATGTTTTTCTTTCACATACTTTAGGCACGCATGGTCGCATATGCAACAAGACCTCATCCGGATTGGATGGATGCGGCATACTCTGCTGTGGACGAGGCTATAATACGAAAAATATTGTCGTACGTGAACGTTGCAACTGCAAGTTCCACTGGTGCTGCCAAGTCAAATGCGATATTTGTGTAAAAGTCCTCGAGGAGCACACATGTAAATAATTCACAGCAAAAACGGATTGAATGTGCAAAAATTAAAGCACAAAAATGGAATAATAATAAAAAAAATCTGCAATCATTTAATGTCCCGCTAAGTAAACAAACATGTTAGACTACTTTCTCTTAGCCGTAAAGAAAATTATTTATTTTTAGTGACTAGGAAATATTTATTTAAGTACTTTAATGTAAAAATCAGTGCATTTAAACAGAAAACGTAGATTTACGAAGAAAATTCAAAATTAGTTTTTAGTGGAGGTTCGATTACACTAAACTTGATGAGATGAGATGATGAGATGAGATGAGATGAGAAGATATATATATACATTTTATCGCTATCGTAAGTAAGGCTTTGTAAGCAAATTCCATAAGTTAAAATGCATCACAAAACTAATGATATTATAGCTATGATATGTAATAAAGCAAACATTTATTTAATTAGAATTAAGAAATAAATAACTTCAATTTTAAGAGTTTAGAAATGTATTTACTGCCAAACAGACGGGCAGACGGGCAGACGGGCAGACGGGCAGACGTGTGTGGATCAGACGGGTTGAAATATGGGAGAGCATACACACAGGACAGTAGCCTAAACTGTAGCTTTTCTAGAGAGCGACTATCCTTTATTGTTGTGTATATTTATTTGTAATTTTTTTAAATAATTATCAGCAAGTATATAGTATATACATACATATATACACATATATTTATAACCGTACATTTAATTTTAATATTAAGAATAATATAATTATTTCTATTTTAAATAATTTGTATATTTTGTTCTGCTCTCCAGTAAAGTTTTTTTTAAAATTAAGTACAGAAATTACTTATATGTAGGGAAGTGAGTGTTATGTTTAGTGTTTCAAATTGTAGATATGTCCAATCGAGTTTAGCTTGATAAACGTGCAAAATTTTGTCTATAAATGTAAGTCAGAAGTAAAAAACAAATATTTATATATGTATTTAAATTTATTTACTTTATAAAAATATATAAAAAATATATAAAAAATATATAATAAATGTATTTATATATAAAAATTGAAATAACGAACAAAAACAGAATTCATACTCAATAGAAAGTAACTTTATGACGACCTTTTAGAAGAAACGTCCTTTAAAGAAAGAATTATTAAATTAAATAACAACATTAGAAGAGAAAATAATATAACAAAGCGTATAATTACTTTAAGTAAAATAAAAATTATAATTAAATATTTTTTCCAGCTTTAATTCCTTTTTTGTTAACGAAAAGGATGTTTAAGCTGCTGTATCTCAACTTTACTCGTAATTCGAACAAATCATCTTGAAATGGTTTTTAAATTTATTTACTGCACAAAAAGGCTAATCAAATATTTATGGAAAATTTATGTAGAAATAATATAAAAAATAAGAAAAAATTATTTATATTGTATGTCGACGTAATCTCTTAAAATTAAATGTATGTAGTTCTTAAGTCATAGATGTATTTGTGGGTGGGAAGGAATCGCAAAAAAAAAAAACACGTAATAAAAAGAAATCAAAAAATAATATAACTTTTATTTCAACCTAACATCCGATTCATAACCTTAATCCTTCAGTGATTAAAGTGACGAGAGAACTATAACTTCTTCTGTCCAAGTAGTAAAACATTGCCGATTGAGGACTAATGTAAGAAGTTGTAAGAAGTAATAATCTGAAAAAGATGTTAGGATAAGTTTATCGCAAGTATAAACTCTCAATACGTGTCCTTGAGAACGGCATAAACTACGTATTTTTTCTTGAGTTACTTCAATACTCAAGTAGTTTAACATATATAATATATATTTTCTAATCATTAAAATTTTCGGTACTGCTACTTTATGTGTATTTATTTCATTCATAAGCAAAACAAGGATAGGATATATAAGGATATATATAAGGATATATATCCTTATATATAACTAAACCTAAGCCAAGTTGAAGGATGCTTAATATCCTTATTATATCTAAGTTTAGGTAAGGTTGAAGAAGCTGTTTTGCACACCAAAGCCAATTAGAGCATAAATAATGGCCCAATGGTCTATCATGAATACAAACGTTGATTTAAACGCCAGACCAAGAATACTACGAAAAGAGATAAAAAAAAACTAAAGTAGTAGACACACATTCAATGTCGAATGAAAAGTAAAACAGTCCGACAAGACTATTAACTTGACTGCATCAACTTCCTTCTTAACTTTGAAAGATGATAGCTCTATCATCGGCCATAAAAAAGATTCCAAAAATATTAAATCTATTACTGGGCAAAGATGATCTCTGACATTAAGATGAAGCATATTTTCTTCCTGCTTTGAAAAGCTGCATCCATACAAAAGCCATCATCGAGAAGACCAAGTTTCATTGCATGTCTGCGTACGCAGTGACCTTACAGTCAAGATACCAAAGTGCTGAGTAGATTCCGCTTTTATTGAACCAGTGACTCATACATTTCTCGTCTAAATGGTATTAGCTCATGTTTGGTTGAGAGGTCCGTGCTGAAAAGACTGTTAGCACTTTTAGTGAGAGTCATCTATTGGCCAATTTGGCGTTCTTAAAATTGAAATGATTCCTCTTTAACCATTTGGTCTTCAAGATAAAACTGAAGACAATAGACAAGTCTACTATAGCTATCTCTGTCAAGCCAGGGCACAAACGGTCTCCAAGTCATTGAACTCACTTTATCTTTAGTCTTCGATGGATTATATCTCATTTTTCTGGTAACAACGGAATATGTCATCGTTGAAGCATCAGCGCAATGTCACAGTAACCCGTCTGTCTTCTGTAATTTCTTTTTAGTCCAAGTTATAAGGCTCGTGCTACGTCACAGTATTTGCGATTAGTTCACAAGCGATTAGTTCAGTTTATACAACGGAGCATATTAAGAGATGACGGCTTTACTTATATGCATTTGTTGATTGAGATTAATCAATGAGGTGCGCTATATCATTACAATCATCGATTTTATTGCGCTTACGGATGGCTGATTGTTTAAAAAGGAGTGATATTCGTAGGACTAATTTGTATTCGACTGGCTGCCTTTTATTATTGCGTATACCTCCAGCAATAATGTACATATATCTCTTGTAAGTACTCTTAAAAATTATGTAAAAGATGATGATGATGATAATGACGAGGATGATGATAATAATAATGATGATGACGATGATGGTAGTTAAAGCGAATGCATGCTATTTCGATTAATGAATGGTAATTTCATGGTAAATAAATTATTGAGGCAACACACAATTGTCGAAAGGTTGGTGCACTGACTAAGTAAAAAATTCAATTTCGTTTTACGTAAGATGGCGCTAAAGTCGGGTTGTTGCACTCGGTCTTTATCACAATTTTTCCCAGTGTTGTGAAATAAAATTAGTTAAAAAATAATTTAATATTAACATCAGTTTAAGAAAAACAACAAAAAAAACCTATAGCTGTTTTGAGTATTGCTAAATATCCATAAAAAGTGGGCTCTTCGAAAATATCGCTTATATTCAATTATTAGAACTTTAGTACTGTTTCTTTCTTTCAATTATTTTTAATAAATTTACTATTGCCGTTTTTGAATAATAAAATTGGGGTGCCTTTTTCAATCGATATTAAAAATATCATTTTTGATTAGTTAATCCTGAGCAAACACTCAAGATCAATTTATAGCACTCCAGATATTTTGCCAGAGTACAAAGTTTATTCTGAAACTAACAGCTGTTTTATATGACTTGACAAATAATATGTGAAATATGTATTTATGAAAAATGTCTCTATACATAACATTTAAACAATATATCTATTGACAACACATTGATTGATAAATAGATAAACAAAAAAACATAAAAAGATAAACAGATATGTTTATATGTAGATATGTTTACCGGTGATATAAAACTAAATTATCCTTTCCAATAAAACGCGGTGCAGGCTATCATTTTTGAGTGTCATTCAAGTGAGGAAATCCATGAATGACACTCAAAACTGATAGTCTGCACCTTTGAATGACACGCAACCAACATGGTGGCGTACTCACAAAATTTTTGGTGAGCACATCATTTAGCTTCTTGTCGTGAAGATAAATGGGTCTGCCACCAAAAAACTTTCATTCATCATTCAAGAGCATATTTTTGCATGGTCGCACTAATACACTTACAGGGTGCGAAACACACTTACAGCGTGCGTAAACACCTTTACAGCATGCGAAACACATATATAGCATGCGAAACACACTTACAGCGTGCGTAAACACCCTTATTCTTTAAAAATTTTGCTTAATTGACAACTCTTGAATGTGAGCATGTTTAAGTTCGGTCGGTAGAATAAATTTGAGCAAAGAGACTGCAATTTGAATGACATTCAAAAATGATAGTCTGCATCGCGCTTTAAGAAAAGATTGTCCCACGTGGAAAGT